TCTTTACATGCTGGTTACAGCAATGATGTTAAAGAGGTTTCTGGATTGGCCACTTCCTTTATTTTCTTATGAGGGGTTGTTACAATAGATCAGGTTGATTTTTTTTCCCTTTTTATAGAAAATCAACATTGCACTCAGCAAGAAAGCTGGAGTTTGATGTGATAAGCACTGAAACCAAAAGTTAGATCCATAGATTTTATCAATTTTGATTTAAAAATCATCTGAACAATCTACAGAAATAACTAATTTCCACAGGATTTTGCTTAAAAAACTGACTTCAAAATTTTACTACTTTAAGAATGAATCTAAATAAAGTTGAAATTTTGTGTATTAGAAACATTGAATGAAAAATATATTAAAATTAGAATTCTAATTATGAATTGCCATAAGCAAAATATGCAATTATATGTAATTAAATTTGATTAAAGTATCACTTCAGAGTAGGTGAATAATTTTTTTTTAATCTCTTCTCTGATAGCTTACTACTTTTGAAACAAAAAATATTTTTGTGCTGTAATTTTTTTAATACAACATTCTGTATTTCTTGTTGACTAGATCATGTTCAAGATATACAGTTGTTGATTATGGAATTTATTATTCCTTTTAATTTCAAGCCAACTAACTGCTTATATTTCAATTATAAATTTTATAAGACTGTACAAGATATCATAGAGTTCTGGTGGATTATCATCTCTAGTCCATAAACACATTAACCTGATGGCTAAAGTTAGCCATCTTGTTTGATTTAGAGACCCAATTTTCCAGGCAGCAAATCTAGGGTTCACTTTCCCTTGAGAAATTCCTGCCCCATATTCTTAGAGCAGTCTTTGGTTACCACTTAAGTCTTCCTGCAGTTATCTAGGGGGCCACTGATGGTATTAAATTCTACCTAGTACAAATCCTGGTAATCATTTCTGTAAAGTTTCACTAGATTTCAAAGATAAATTTGAAATAAGAAAAATAGAAAGAAAGTAACAGTATTAATTGGAAATATAGTTTCTTCCACAAAAATAAACAAGCACATTTTAAATAAATGCCAATCACTTCAAAAATACAAAATTTGGTAGATTAAACAAAATGTTTACTGTTTTTTCAAATAATTAAGTCTATTATATAAATATACAAAAGAACTAATTAATTTTACAGTTATAAATGAACAGTGGTCAAGTATAGAATGTAATAAAGATAACAGCAAATGTTTATAATGGCGAGAACTTAGATAATACCCATCAAAAGAATGTCCTCAGATAAGATTTATAAACAAAATATATTTTATTTTTACTACTATTGATTAAAATAAAGAAATTTCTTTTTTTATTAGGTTGCATGGTGTGTGTGTGTGTGTGTGTGTGTGTGTGTGTGTGTGTGTGTGTGTGTGTGTTTTATTTCTTTAGAATTAGTTTTCCACTGAAAAAATTCCAAATGAGATAAAAAGGAATCAATTAAATGATTATATATTTAATTTCCATTTTGTCTTTACATAGTGAATATCTTATATTATTCATAATTCTGATTTATTTTTCTTTGATTTATTAAGAATGATTAAATGATGCAATTGGAAAACATTTTAAATTATATCCACACATTTGTTTTCCATAAGAGTACAGATGTTTTTGACAGTGTTAAATCTTTCACTGATCACTGGAATGAGTACTTCAATTTTTGACAGTGTTAAATCTTTCACTGATCACTGGAATGAGTACTTCAATTTTGAACCTAAGCTTAATCTCATTTCATCAAAAAACAGTAACAATTTGAAAAAAAAATATTTTGTGTCATTATTTATCATGTCAAACATAAACTTTCAAATTGAGTGCAATACCAGAACTGATCTGCCCTACCATTACAAGTAAAATAAAAATTATATTTAAAATCTTTTTTCCTTTCACAACTTAACACTCTATAAACATTTTATTTTTATTATTTTAAAAGCTCTTGTGAAAACTTGGATGGAGCCTTCTGTGAGCCATTTATTTTTGTTTTTTAATAAAAAGAACTTCAGTTAGCAGATAACTTCAGAAGGCATTTTAACATTAAGCAGGATGTATCTAGACATCAAACAAAGCAAGAAGACAGCCAGTAATTTTGATGTTCACAAATGAAAATTCTGTATTTGGACAACAAACAAGGAAAAAGAATTCAAAGAAATTTTCCCAAAAGCTTCAGTGAAGCACAAACAGTGTAAATATAAAAAGAAGACATTTCAAAATTGTTATATGTCCCAGAGACACTTATGGGATAAGTAAGAGTAGGGTTTTTTTTGGGTTTTTTTTTTTTTTCTCAAAAAGGCTGTTGCACCCTTGTTTTTCTACTATCCTGAATGTGCTTTCACTTTTTGTCTTTTTCTAAATTGTATTCCGTTTTTCATTTTCAATGGTAATCCTTTTTTGCAACATATCAAAAATTGCTATTCTGCCTTAATAGATTCACAAAAAGAAATATTTGGACAAATCTTATTATTTGTGACTATTTTAACATTAGGTATAAGAGAAAGATGAGTTCTCTTTTCTCCTTCTATCTCAACGAACTAGGTTTTCATGTTTGGCACAGGAATTTAGGATTTAGTAGGGAGTTAAATTTTTATAACTCTTCTCTCCAAATTAGGAATGTAAAAAGATCAGCTCAAACTGGAAAAATAAGAAATTTTTTGTTTTATGATAAGGAGGTACTGAAAAGTTCCCAACCCAGCCCACTTCCCAAAATCTGACCAAATGATCAAATATCAGGATTTCTTTCTGAAACAGTTTCTTGATTGGGTTAAGAATTTTGAAATGGCCTTTTTTAATACACTGCTTGAAAATTCAAATCAAGAGCGATCCTTATCTATTCTTCTTATCATCATAATCTCCACTTCCTATCACCTTCTGTTCCCTTATTATTCATTAATCATTAGCATTTCATCTGTAACTCTTGAGGGGCTCTCAAGCTTTGTATTGGGTGAAATTTAGTAAAAATGAAAAAGATAAACAATTAAAAACTGATAGTACATTGAACTTTAAAACACAGATCTACTTTACAACATGCAAAGCTGTATTTCTTTATCAAAAAGTGGTTTAGTATTACAGCGAGTCAGGGTTAATATTATTTTCTTTCTTTCAAATCAAATTAAATTAAATTTCAAGGATGCTCAAAAAACAATGCCTCCTATTTGTTTCCATGAAAACTACAAAAGATACCAGGAGCATGATAAAAGCATTGGATAGAGCCTATGTAACACTTCAGTTTGATCCTGGTTCACAATGGCAACAGATGTAACCTTTCATCGTGGTCAGCTCATTGTGGATCCTGTTTGATCAATGGAGTGATCTCTTCAATCCTGACCTGACTTACCCCACATTATGATTGTTTTGATTATAAGGAGGCCAAGATCGATTCGTTGCAGGTATGTTCATGTTCAGCTGGTCCAAGTCGAACGAAGTCATACAATAAAATTAGAGAAAAAAAAAAACAAAATGTATATAAAAAAATAACTACTATTTTTATATCAATACTGCATACAATGGTTCATTAGTAGTTGTGTTGGCATACAGGCATTTGTCAACCCAACCCGTTCCTAAATTGGACACAACACTTGGTTTTGGCTTGTAGAGTTAGCGAAATTTGTTTTACTGCTTTGGTAAGTTGGAGGTTCTTGTGTTCAGCAGGAGTTGTGGAATCTCTCAGCGACCTCCACCACTTCCCTTCTCAGCTCTCTGACTTTGAACTGACTCTGTGAATGGCTTTCGTGCATTCATTTTTATAGACTCCAACTAGAAACCAATGTGGGGCAAGGATGTAGGCTGGGTTTTTGGTGAATCCCCTGATTTTCAACAAAAGTCTATTTTTTGTGGTCTTGAGAAATTAATTCATAATTTTGGCAAATTCTCCCTCTCTCGTGGGTTTTGAAGACATCACTCCACCTGACTGCTTCTACTTTCTTTTAGTACCACCTCTCAACATTGCCTTCCAGCTCCTTCAACCTCCTTAATATCTCTTCTGTGCCTGTTACTCTTCAGTAGGTGCAGACAGCCACTCATCCTTCTTTGATCATTCTTCTGTGCCTGTCACTTCTAGCATTTGGTCGGAGATTAATTAAAAAAGTATGGATTCAAATGCTCTTATCTCATAAGTGAATTGACACCACAATTGGCTTTCTCACCTTTGACCCAAGAGACACTTTCCCAGGGAAAGTTTTGCAACTCCCATTATGGTGACAATTTGTTCCACCAAAGGTCTGTAGGTGTTTAATTCATTGTTTTTCATTACAACATTCTATGAAATGAATTAATTTAGTTTTAACCCAATTCTTCTCATCTCAGATCCAGGCATTGGTTGCCGCAGACTGTCATCAACAGCTGTCAACACTTTCATTTGTTTGCACAAACTGAGAATCGCTTTCAGGCAGTCATCTGGTTCATTGTATATATCTCGATTCTCTGGGAACAATCTTATTATCAGACTATCTTTCCTGATATTGGTTAACCCTTTTCATCATTATCTTGTTTTCATTGATATTCCAAGCCACTATTATGACTATTAATTACCAACAACCCAAATAGTTTTACACTAATTTTTCACATAATAACTGCTATTAGCTACACATTTATTCTTGTGATGAACAAGAGCTGTTCATTCCATGGCTTGGAATGTAGTTTGTCATACAACACATATCACTACTGAAACACATTATGACATAACTGTACTCACATCTACTGTTTGGTTTCCATAATTGTTAAGCAAGCATCAATGAATGTCAATGGGATCAAATTTTTTCATTATATATATGATACACCGCTGCTTCATGTGCCTTTTCAAGCCAAAATACTGAGTTATTGCTGGGACGGTTCAACCTTTACTGCTCTGCCATTAACATTGTCCTCTGAAGTTAGTCAAGATATTATAGTATCAACATTTAATCTAGATTGTTGTTTTTTTTTTTTCGCTTTAAATATTTCTCTGCTCCCAAATCCTTACTCAGTGTTATTTAAGTATAATTCTATTTTTTCTTTTTCTTTGGCTAGATTCAAAGAATTCAGAACAAAACACTCTACAGGGATTATGTAAAGAAAAAGTGTGAATACAACCTAATACAAAAGAAATATGAGAAAAAATTGTGGTTTTCCTGTGATTCCACTGATGTCACTGAACTAAGGACAAATGGACTTAATACAAAATTTATGAAAGGTAGACTATTATTCTATATTCATCTCTTTATTATACATTTGAATACTGATGCAAGACAACTTGTGAAAATGTTATTGTCTTATTTTTTGCCTTGACAATGACTATTGAATATTCTTTGACTGGTAAGTATTAGATCCATGGAAATAAAAACAGAGAGAAATAAAAAAGAAAAAGAAAATCAATGTGAAAATGACTAGGACAAGAAAAAATAAGAAATCACAGATGAAGTTATGATTCCTTCTACCAATGTAACATGTATGCTGAAATAGACTAAAGATAAGAAAAAGGATGTGGATGTTTTTAGTTAACAAAAAATATATGCAATGTTTATAATTGTTTTTCATGAGTAATTAATAAAGGTATGTGTATATGATATTATGTATACAGTTTGTAGATTTCTCACGTGAGAGAATTTCGTGTGTCAATAAATTATTAGTCTTACTGAGAAAAAAGTCTTCATATTTGTGTGAAGAATTGTCTTTGTTAATTGGTGTGAGAGAGCATGAATGGATTTAGTTGAAACAGGATGATCAAACTTGGGAAATTTTTCCATCTTATGTGAACCAATTAAAAATATTTTTTGTAGATCATAAGTGGATCAAGTCATGGTGTTTTTCAAATATATGAGAATGATTTTGATTATTCTTTAAAAACAAATTGCAAATAGTTTAAGAAGCTTTAGATATAATTAGTCAATGATTTAATATTGCTATTGCAAAAAAAGTTTAAAAAACCGTTTTATTTACAGAATATTGGTGAAATAAAACAAAAATACCTGAAAAAAAAAACATGTGATGTTATAACATACTTATGTTATAATTTTTAAATAAATATTATTTGCTCTACTCTGTATTGAGCACCTTTTAAAAATAGTGTTTTTGGTTACTGGAAGTTTATTCCATCTATATCAACCTTGTATTCGAATATTAACATGATTATGAAATTATGTGAACCAACTACAATACAATATTAGTTATTTACAATAATTTAAAGAAATAACTATGAAAACAATTATTCCATTCCTATTTTTTTTTAAAATGTCTCTGAACTATAAAATGAGAAATTTTAAACAAAAACCCCAAGTAACTATAATTATAAATTTTAAAAGAATGTGTTTTGTGGATATTATACATTTTCTTCTAAGATAATTTTATATCTCAGATAACTTCTTTTTTTTAATTTTCCAAAGATCCCAAACTGAACTCTCCTTGTACAATCAGAACAAATAATACTTAGAATTTTTTTTTTTTGTATAATCATGATCTAGGATGTCTAACTGGTGTCTAAAACTAAACTAATTATGGCTAATCCCTTTCATATTGTTTGAAAAATATAATTTTGTAAAAACAAAATTCTTAAATCATTGCTAATTTTTCGAAATTTATAAAAAGGTATAAATTCAGTTTCGTATGTTTAGGCTTTATTAAAATTCTCAAAATAGCTTTATAAAACAATAAAAATTACCAGGGTGTATGCAGTAATAATGTTATTAGAAGAAAAACCTTTCTTTTGACACACCATTTTTGCAGGTCCATTTGTTAAATTTTGCCAGAATATTTTTCTATTTTTGCCTTCTACTTCAAACTGTTCCTCTTATTTCCAAAATGAAAACCAAAGAGAAACAAGTGAAAACTTTTACTGAGGAATCCCAACATTGTTTTTATCTATAATTTTTTAATGTTTGTTGTTTTTTTCCAGTTGGAAGATGTGGAGAAGGCTATCAGTTCTATAAAGAATCAAATACAGCATTTGAGATACAACTTCAAAGTGATCAAAGACAAGATGGTAACCACTATATCTATTGCTGCAATGTGGCTGTTGGAAACCCAATTCAAGGGAATACATCATATAAAAAAGGCAATATTCCTGCAAAGTGTACATCAGTTGTAGACAACATTACCTGCCCAACAATGTACACCATATTTAATGAAAATGTATTCTACCCTTCTTATCTTCTCACTTTTAAGATAAGATGAATCACTTCTTGCTGACTGATTTTCAATTATCAACTTTATTTGCTGCTATAAAAGTTTTCTGAACTGTGTTTTAAATTTCAGTAATCATGTATACAGAGATTTTACAAATAGGTTTCTTCAATTTTCATGGTGTCAAATTTGACACCTGAGCAAAAAACGCTATTCAACATGTATAAAACTTAATTTTTCATAGTCGCTTTTTCTTTTTCTAATAACTAAAAGCTGAAAGATTAGAAAAAGGTTTGATATAAATACTATTTCTTGATTTTAAGTAGAATCAGAACCCACCGATTTAAAAAAAATCTCCCAAAATTTATCCAAATATTGAATTTTAATCAAACTTTTGTCATTTTGTCATAAGAGAATATATAATTTTTAAAACAGTCTCTCTTAAAAATTTTAGAGAAAAAATAATTTTTGCTTGACTACATTACTGTCTTTTTTAATTTGATGATTTCAATTGTGTATTGAAGCCAGTTACATTGAGGAGGTTTACACTTTTTAAAGCTAAGATCACAAAAAATAAATATTGGAAAAAAAAAAAGAAATATTGCAACCAAAATGAAAAGTCGATATAGATGACTTAGTTTTAAATTTTTAAAAATTAAAATATGGCCTGTTTCAAACAATTTTTTTAAAATTTCTGTTCTATGGATATCATCTGTAACAAAAAATAAATAAAAAAATTTTAGTGATGGTTTTTTTAATTTTTTTGTAATTTTTTATAATATGGATTTAATAATGTGGCATTTTCAATGTCTATTTTTTTAAAAGATGTGCCACTATCGGATTTTGTTTTTAAAAACTTAATGTCGTTTAATAAATAAATATACAAAGAAGATGAAGAGAAAGAGGACTACATAATTTCAAAATATGACCCAGGAGTAGATTATTTAAATAATGGTTTATTTTTTAGATTAAAGTAATGAAGTGTATAATGTATTGATTTCTCATGTCTGCATGCAAACCAGTGAAATATTTTACAATTATCAATTATGTAAAACTCCTTTTCTGATTGTTTCAATACTTATTTATGTATAATCTATAAGATTTTTTTATTTTGAAAATAAAATATTTTGCTTCCTAAATTTTTCACAGTGAAAATTTTATTTCTTTAAATATTATAATAATCATGTTCAATAAAAACCCAAATACATCTATGATTTTTTGATCTAAAAGACCAAAAATAGTAAATGTATTTGAGTTTAGCTTACATTCTTTTTAATCTACATTTCATGTGACAGAATGTATTCCAAAATTAACTTTTAAAAGTAATGCTTGTCCTATATAAAAAAATCTTGATGATGAACAACAAAAAATACAGAAAATTACTTAGTTTACAAAAAAAAACACTGATTTTTATTACAGGTCACCATACTTTATGCAATTCAATCTAAAATTGTCAAAACAAATTTGTGTCTTTGCTGGTCATCATGACTGGGGCAAGTCATCAATGTCATAAAATACATTTTTTTAATATTTTTTTTTAATTTAGCAATTTTTATGTAGTTAGATCAGGCAAAGATTAAAGTAACTATCTAAAAATTTAATTACACAAAGACCAAATATTTTTTGTGCAAAATATGAAAATTTAGTTAGTAGGGATAAAATTGGAAAAGAGAATATGTGCTTCTTTTACCCCTAAAGTTGGATAAGGTGCAAACAAATAAGACTCAACTACTATGTGAAATTTAAAAGAGCAAACATTTATTACAGTACACAAAAAAACAAATACAAAATTTACATAAAAGAGCTTGGACAAAAATTTCCTTTCATGCAACTTATACAAAAACTAAGACAGGATAACAAATTAGCTATATACAGTGTAACCCGGATATAAGAGAGTTGTCGGAACCGGAGAAGAAGTTTTTATGCTCTAATTTGGGACCAGAGAAAATCTCTCTTATATCCGAGTCTCTTATATCTGGGTTACATATATATATATATATATATATATATATATATATATATATATATATATATATATATATATATATATATATATATGTATGTATGTATGTATGTATGTATGTGTGTGTGTGTATATAAATCAAACCAAAAAGAGATTATAAAAAAATCCACTTTCAGGAAATAAAAAAATTAGACAAGGTAGAAAATACAAAAAAGTGAACACACCTTATTTGGGGTGCAGGACAACTCAACCCTGCCGACTCAACTCAGGACCAAGATAACTCAGTACCATAAAAATATAACTCTTTTTTATAACCAAATAAAAGTAATTTATTAAGGATTAAAATCTTAGTGAATATTTTTCTTCATATAAAGCATTTGAAAAGGCATTATGTAAAATATGAAGCATGTTTTGTTTTTAATTATTTTTAATAAAATAAATCATAAATTCTTCTCTGGAAGCAGCTCAAAGGAATTACCTTCCTGATACTTGTAACTGCTTTCTAGTTAAGATTTTGTTGTCAGCTCATCTTTCTTTCTCTCTATTGATTTATGACTCCCTTCTGCTTTGACACTTCTCTCTGCCTTGAAGTCTGGGTGCTTTTTGATCTTATCTGCTGACCTACCCACTTTTATGAAAAAACAGTTGGTTCCCCAGAGACCACAATTCCAAATTTACAAGAATATAAGACCATGTCTCTGAGTGGTCAGTAAATATGATAAAAATATATCTTTTCTACAAATTTAAAAAAATTAATCAGCAACAATTCACAAAGAAATAATTTTGGTGGTTCTTTAATTGCTAATTCTAAAAATAGATTTTTACACACCTGCAACAATTTCTTTTATAAAACATCACGCTTTCTTAAAAATAAACTTTTCTCAAAGGTATGTGCAAAAACAACATAGACAATATTTATTTATTACACTTTTAATTAATGACTAACTTTATTTTACAGTACTCAAATATAACATTTTTATACTATCTCCCATGAAATTGTCTTGATGTTATGATTATTTTTATTTTTAATTGATTTTTCTTTTTCTTTGTTTACAATATCTAATTTCTATCAGTCATAAACCATTGTGATTTTTGCCAATTCAAAGGAAAATGTTGAGCCCATAGCCATTTAATTCAACTATTATTAATTAAATGCGTTGTTTTTTTTTCTTTGCAAAATACAAATTTGGGTTCTTCTTGTAATTTCTAATTAATATTTTTCAATAAGATATAAGATTTTTCTTGAAGATACCTATGTTACAAGATATTGAATTCTAAATAACATGCTTCCCTTCTATACATTTGAAAATGAATGTTTAACTTACATTTTATCTGAATTTCATATTATTCTTTGAAATGTTTTTTTCTAACCAACTTTTAAAAATAAATTCTCTATTCCATAAAATTGTTGAAACCTTTTGATAGTAATCATTTTGTAGTGATATGTTAATTAGGTACTGAATGAAAGGCAGTATTGCTATACCTACAGGAGCGTTATCTTTTGATGAGACTACCTCTGACATATACCTATCATAACAATATGGTGTTGGCAATCAGTTACTTAACCATGATGGATGATCCTGAATATGTAGAAACCTGGTTTAGGTATTTTGCAGACTCGGTGAGAAGTTGAAGGACATCAAAGTTAGTGGAGGAGAAAATGAAATTAAAGATTTGTTTTTTGTCTCAGTGGGGTGTCAGGCTATGAAAAAATCTCCGTCATAGTTTATCCCAATGTGTTGGAAGATTTAGTGGATGAAGAAATTGCTGCCAATCATAAAAGCAAATGTATGACCAAAAAAAAGATTGATCATAGTGGAAAAAACTAAATTTCTTGAGTTGATAGAGACTGGACAGAATTATTATGCAATATGTACAGCAAGTGAAAGAAGCATCGAGATATTGTGACTTTGAAAGAATGGGTTCAAAACAAATGTTTATTAAAGACAAGTTAATTGTGCTAAGACTGATTGAAGGAATGTTTGGCATCTCATACAAGTCTAACACTTTCGCCCCGACCCCTCAAACTCCGATGTCTTACTCTCGGGGTTGAAGTGTCTACTCGGTCCTAACTGAACTTAAGGGAGTGGCCATAGGTCCCCTGAGCATCTATAGATTATTTGACCAGTCTGCTGGCTTAATCCTGCTTCCTGCCCACGTTGTGATTTGTTTGATCCAGAAAGCAGAAGTGATGTCCGTCCATTCACACTCTATTGAATCAGGGCTGGTTATAACTGACCCTTGGCCCTACTATTTCACACGCGATTATCATGGGGTTTATGTCTGCTTCAACCAAAATCATATGAATTCCAAAGTTTCTTCTAGCTTACTCAGATCTATTTCAACTTTTAATCAATAAAAACTATTTCAACCATTTCCATTGTCTTCTGATGACCCAGATTCAATGGGTACAACTTCTGCCCTAGATCAGATTTCCCCATCAGCAAACAAAATGCTCTGATTTAATTTCGCTATTCAAATCTTCTCCAATTTCACTAAAAAAATATATATGTGTGTGTGTTTTCCCAGACTCTCTCTCTGTCACACAAGCATAAAATTCTAGAGTGGCTTTAAGCTCAATATGAATCTGGAAGCATGTGTGGAGTTCTTACAATAATTGGAAATGATTAAAAAATTCAATGCCTCTGAAGGCAGCATAGAGACTTACAGTGCTACTAAAAGCTTAATTGTATGCAGATATTGTGATAAGAAACATGAATAGAGCAAAAATAAGTGTCTGGCCTTTGAGAAATGGTGTTTTAAGTGGAAAAAGAAGAATCATTTCTTGATGGTAGATCTTCCAATTGAAAGTACAGAAATATTTGAGATAAAAGTACAGGATAAAAGTAGAGAAATGGTGAAGTTAAACCAAGTAACTTCACTCATGCAGGTGGATACTGGAAATGCTGTTACGTTAATACTGAGGAATTTGGGGGAAAAATGGTTAGACCAAAGTTTAAGAAAAGTAATCTCTAGTTGAAACAGTTTGATGGGTCAATCATCAAAATTTTAAGATGCTAGAAGGCACATTTGAGACAAAAAATAGATTCAAAATAGTACCCTTCATAGTGGTGGAAAACATTAAAAG